TGCTGGAAAAATAATACCAAGAGCCCGACGGCGTCTGAGACAACCAAGAGTTACTCAATGGAACCTTCGAGGAAACCGTACAGGTTGGTCCCGTTGTACATGGTATTCTTCATGACGGTTCTCTTTTCGCGACCTTTTCGTTGAATCTTCGTAAGCCGTCCGGTCCCATGCGGTGTAATATTCGTCCAAACATTTTTCGCGCCGCAACGGCAATGTCGTTGTCCGGGAACGCTAAAATTGCGGACAGAATTTCAACGAACTTAACGTACTTACTAGGGTCGTTGGCCATTTGTTACGCCAATATGCGACAGCTTTCGAAACACTGCTTTTGCTGGACAAGCATCTCCACCCGGACCGATTTGCATATCATGACCGCCTCCTCTTTCCTCCGCTGTTCCTCCTTGAACGCCTCCTTCTCCCGACGGTTATGATCATAGTAGACATAACACGCTGTACATGCCAGGCCGAGAAGGGCGACGATCCAAAGCACGTTAAACATTTTGTGACAATTGAACGCACACAAAAACTGTGAAGATCTAAAAAACTGCAATAACATATATTACACATTTAAATTCACTTTTATACAATACAGTGAGAGAAAAAATGTCAGCAATGATGACGAGGGGTAAGAAAGGGTGGGGGTGTGTGAAAGAGTGCAGAGAGAGGGGGTGGCAGATACAGAAGATAATTCGTGCGGTAATTAAATGCAGCGGCATTTTTGCTAATTTCTAAAAAAAATATAAAAATAATCATCATTAATTATGTATTCGAATTGATAATTGATCAGTCTTCGGCGTTCGGTAAGCATAGGCGCAACTAGCTAAGGGGATTTTAGCACCCCCAGACTAAAAATTAGCGCAAAATTGTAATAATGTACATATACTCTATTCAATTTCAACTATATGTTATTTTAAATCTAACGGTTTGAAGACAAGAACTATTTTTTAGTCAGGTATACACACATAATTTTAGCAGCCCTCTAAAATGTAGGACCAGTTGCGCTGTAACCCGGTATAACCTGGTATATGGGCACCGCTTGTGGTAACCTCTTGCAAGAAACGACACGGGCACTGGCGAAAACTGACCTGCGAATAGCGGAAGGCTTATGTAGGGTAGACGAGCTAAGCTAAAGATGACATACACGCTAGTGCAAGTCGACATAATATCGCATAAGCTGCACACACAAGGTGCAGGAAGATGATATTGTCGTGCACATAATATATATATAATATTATTATGACGGTAGTGGTTGATAGATGCTGCTGCGCGACAAGTGTGCGACCATAGGTCCACCCTCTATCCTTTAATTAAATAAAATATTACCGATATTACGCCTTTTTGAGTAATTTTTGGATAATTGGATTTAAGGTCTGAAAATTAGACTGTAGGGTAAGGCCCTACAGAATTGGTATTAATAAATATCTTAAAAATCTTGACTCATACTATTTTTATCTAATTAACAAAGCAACAGAGACATAATATTTAATTTATGGTAGTATTAGTTTTTTTTATTTTTCGAATTAATACTGAAGTCAAAAAACAAGACCGTCTAATTTGGATTAGTGGCATTCTGATGTTGAATAAAAATGAAAAACTAGTTTTCGTGTAATTTATTTAGCGAAAAACAGCAACATTTAGAACTTTGGCGGTATTGCATTTCATAATTGAGGCGTATAGTTTCAAAACCAGCCAAAAGCACATTTTTTGAAAATTGGGTTTTTGTTTTTTGTAAATGGTCACACTGTATTACAAGTCCTGTAAAAATATTGAACACCAAATAGAGCTATAACTGGTTTAAACTGACCATGGAAAATTGTGGTTGGTCTCAAAATCACCCATCAAACGAAGTTTTTATTAAAACCAGGCATAACCAAACACGTTTTTTTTTCGCGGCAAAAAACAATGATAATAATGTGTATACATTCTAAACCTATGATTTCATATTTATTACAAAATCATAGAGTAAAATGTTAAGGTCTTTTTCGTTTTTTGTTGTTCCTAAACAATTTAAAAATGTGATTATGGCTGGTTTTGAAACTGTACGCCTCAATTATTTGTTAATAACTCAACCAGTATTATTATATATTTATTTCAGTACTTGACTTTCTTAAAAACAAAATTTGTATGCAGTACCAAAAATAGCCAAGTTTTAAAATAAAGTAGTCTTACATTTACATAAGTTTTTACTATTTGAGTTTTAGGGAGTATTTCACAATATTTAAAAATTTTATATTGTAAAGCACGTTTGTAAGATTATGACACTGCACACTCTTACAGTAACTACTAACTAGCAAAGACCACTCACGTCATATTTACACTATGTTCTCTGGACTGCCCTCCTGTGTCATTAAATGAAACTCTCATCCCCCAATCCTTTCAAATCAAATATTTAGATAACCACAATCGCCGAAACTGCAGCAATCTACTACCAACGTTTCCATTCCAGATCAGAATCACATGAAAATAAATTGGCCTCCCAAATTCCGTTAAAAACTCTCCCTACGAATCCTGTAAGACGACTTAAAAAAATCTGGCCTAGATATCTTCTCAGTGAATTACTAAAATAAATGTTTTTTTAATCTTATTAGGTGTCTCAACTGTGAGGTACCCTATTCATGTTATTCACTGACTGTTTTCTTTTTTTTCTAAATAACTAATTTACTTAGTGTGTAAATTGAGGTGTGTTGTAAATATTTTGTCAAAAATTAAAAGTAAAAAAAAAAAAAAGTATTCAATTTTTTTAGTTTTCAACGCGTTGATAAAGAACCGTTTATAATATCTTAGTTTTAAATTTCAAAACTAATTTTCTCAAAACTATAAATTTTGAGTTGTGGCGGTCTTGTTCTAAGTGTTCGAGGTAATTTCTGGAGACGGCGGCCGTGAGTCAAACGTTTGTTGACAAATATTACGGTTTCCTCAACAACAGCCCGCGATCAATAAGTGAAGTATTCAGTAAATTATCAAAGTATTACACAATGAGTTCACTGGACAATGGTCCGGTCGTTGGCTTCGTCGACATCGGCAAGGTATTAACTATTATTGCAGCGGTACAGAAAGTCATTGAACAGGGTAAAATGTAAATCAATAGCAACAGCAGTAAATAATGAAAACAAGCACGACGGCCTATGTGACCATAAGAGACGCAGGCCAAACAACGGAAACCTCTGGTCGTGGTCAAGTCGGTGCACACCCAGCAAAGATGTCGACCAAAGGAGTGGATTAAAATATCATGGTACTTGTCGAGACACAATGTTCAGCCAAGAAACGACTGAGCCGGCTTCACTAATTATCTTACTTGTTTTAACTTCAAATGGGATAACTTTATGTCTGAGAATTAACTAGAGAGTTTAATGTAACTAGATTGGTCGATCCATGTAGGTATATATAAATTAAAATTGAGCAACAAAATAATGAAAACGCTGCATATAAGTGTTCAATTTAAAATGGAAAAACTTTGTGTTGTGAAGAAGTAAAAATGACACTTGGTTGAGTACAATTACATAAAAGAACGTGCAAGAACACTTAAATGTATTTAATTAGGTATGGGTATAATAAATAAATCCAATGTATCCAATGGAAGAATAGTTCAATAAATATGTTTAATTTGTTTTAAATAAATAAGAATAACATAGAAACCAATCTAATAGCAATCTAGTCAGTGACAATAATAACACTTGACTAATATTAATTAGATATACGAAACAATGAATCATCGGCGATACTAAAGTGAGGATGACATTAATACTTTAAGGTGTTTTAGATTTAACGTTAACTCTCATTGACTTTAAATTATCCTAATTATAATCTCAAGTTAGTAATTCAATGATGAGTAATTACTAATTAATAATTAAAAAATAAAATAAATAATAAATTTGACAAAAAATAATTTACATAAGAAATATTTCACTCTTGTATGTTTGTTTGCCTACTTTCCATTTTAAAGGGAGAATCTGATTTTTAATGAGAAAGTTAAAAAAATAGTAAGCTTAATTAATTTATCTAAAATCAATATAATATTATGAATATTAAATCTATATTTTGAAATATCTGCAAAACTTTAAATCGTTCACTAGAAGTCATATTTCAACAAATTTTCACCATAACATATAGAAATATATATACGGGCCACTAATGCCTATTGATTTTATACACATTATATATTCTTTATGAGAGAACTCATTCAAACCGGCATAGACTTACAAGCGACTTTGTCTGTTAAATCAACCAATATTTAATAGAAGGAACAATTAATAGTGGTTTGTTAAAGGTTAACGGATGTTATAGTAAGGGTTAAAATTTAACCTGTCTAAGGCTTTTTATATTTAACCGTTAAAATATGTGATAAGCCTCAGACTTCGTCCTTCATATAATAAGGTACTTCAATATAGGGATTTTTACATAATCTACATAAATTGAGAGAATAAGCCAAAAGCTTTTAATTTTTAAATTTACTTTTTCTTCAAAAATGTTTTTAAACTCGGACCTGAAGATGCAATTCATAAACGTCCCGTCTACCTTTTCTTTATTAATTTTACAGTTTTATAATTTAAATTTAATTAAATTGTTACCTCTATTATCAATGATTTATCTAGTGACTAAAAATAAAGCCATAGTTTAGTAATGATGAATATGTAGGTAGATTTAATGAAATCGTTATCTTTATTATCTATTGTTTACCTAGTGACAAAAAAATAGACATAGTTTAGTAATAATTAATATATTAGTCATATTTTTTATAACCCACCTTGGAATACCACGAATATTGTTATCAGTCATGTCGTTGAAAATTGAAAACGTGCCCGGTGCCACCGCCGAGTACATCAGTTCCGGTTTAGACCGTTAGATGGCGGCAAGTATTGCAATACGATCGCAACGCTACTACCGGCGACCGGTAGCTGGTAGGCGTTAACTCTCTGGCGGCGCTGTGCCATAATGATAATAATACAAAAAGACCGAAACGGACCGGGTAAAGAATATAATTATAATCACGATTCACGGACCGTCCTGTTGGTCACGACAGACGCGTTTCCGTCGTGTTGGTGTTCCTTGCCGACAATCGGTGTGTAGTGCGTTTGTTTACGGCTAAAACCTATACAATATACCTACAACCGTGAACGTTGAATATTATTTAATTTAAAAAATATTCATCTATACAATAAAATATTATAATATTGTATTAAATATTTTGTCGGGTTATCAACATTCCGTGCGGTGGATTAAACACGCCCGCCCAAATAAAAGTGATAAAAGTCAATATATATATTATATAGCTACATGTATAAAACATAAAAGGGGAATAACTATTAATTCGTACACGGATATTTTCGGGCGGGTCCGAGAGCGCACCGTCGCTGTGATAAGAGTGATAAAGTGGTACGAGCCACGATCGCGGCCGGTCGTTACATAACAGCTATATGCACGAAAAAAGGTAAAAAGACTAATAGAGTACAAAATTTAATTATGAATCAACAATTGTTCTTCGTACTCAACGTTAGTAGCAACCGCGCAGGAAAACGTTTTTCCGTCGTAATCGAGTGTGTTTAAAGACTACCAAAACGGATGTTCGCACACGGTAGTTTTTTTTTCGTTTTTGTTACGCCACAGCCAACTGTAAAAACCGGTTACGGCCGTGAAATTGGTTGATCCGCGTGTGTCCATAATAGGATTTTTTTTTGAGTCCTAAAAAAAATCTACCCAAACAATTTTTAAACGATTTTTGTCAACAATGTTTGCGTGAGTTACGAGTCCCTTTGACGTTGTCACCACAGCCGTCAACCCATACTCAACGATGTCAACAGCTCCGTTTGTAGTCAAGCACGATGGCAAGAAGCACAACATCGAGCACTTCTTACGCTTTCATCCGGGTGGCACTAATACGTTGGCTGCGTTAAGAAATATTGACGTTACTGATCGACTTGTTGCTACCCATCATTCTGCTGCTGCTTATGAACTGCTCAAGGACTATCAGGTCGATGAACAAGATGAACGTAAGCACATCAGAGAAAACGGTGACTTGGAGGTAAGTATTTTTTATACAAATCTATAGGTTAACATTCTAATCGATGATAACATAGTTCAGGATTTGAAATCAATAGTTGATTTTGCATTCACATTTTCATAAAAACTAAAAGCCATGGTTGATACTGCACACATTATTTATCCAAATTTTTTCAACTGTCACAACTGTTCAAGGCAGATTGCACATTTTACATATTCTTGGGCTCGGTTTTAGTATAATACTCCTGGCTGAAAATACTCAAATTTTTATTTTTTTGGACAGGAAGTTATTGATTTAAGTCCTCGAGCTACTCTATTCACTTAGATTTCTCTCAAAAATTTCATTTGACTATCTACTAAATTATGGATATTTAACAGCTAATCTGTTTCTAAGAATATTGGTTGATAAATTTCTAATGTCAATATTCAATCAATTGCTATCTGACAATTGTCATTTTTTTCTTATTAAAAATTATTTTTATTATTTTAGTTGAATATTTACTACACCTAGTTCATGACTTGTATAACATTGAAATGTTAAAATTGCATAAAAAATGTAATGATGAAGCTACAGGTAAAAAAAAACTTATAATTGGTATAACAAAAGTAATTTGAACTTTATATTTATTGAATGTATTTTCTAGTTATCATTTTTTACTTATAAATTATTGTAACCAAAATAATAATTACCTTTCAAGACAATCAAAAGTGTAAGCAAATAATAATATTTATAAATATAGTTGTAAAAATAAACTTTATTATCTATGTGTGACAGACATACCTATTTAAAATATTAATTGATAGCTATCTACTTAAGTGGTAATGTGGATTTCAGATAAAATAATGCTAAAACTAAGTCTTTCTAGTTACCTACAAGTTTGAAATTTGTATTTTTTAAAAACAAGAATAAGAACATTGATGAGTCTTAGCAAAAGATACTTAAATTTTTAGGTATCATTATTTAACCTGTGGCCTTAGATGTATCAATATGTTTTTTCCATAGATCTAATAACTTATTGATAGCGCTTTTCTCACACTTTGTCAAGCTATATCAATCGGACATAATATGATAGGAGGGTAGACAGCAGCAAAATGAGGATTATCATGAAATAAATAAAGATCCTCTGTAATTTGGATATTATTATTATTATTATATTATTTTCGCGTTGTCTCTTATTCAATGTTCACTTTCGTTTTCTTTCTTTTCTAGTCGTCCATGAGTTTACTATTAACTGTTAATAGGTCAAAGATTTTTACCTTTAACTTATCATATAGGTATAAAGTTCGCTCCGTTTAAAAAGGAACCGCCATCACCCTCTCCGGCGTCAGATTGACGACCTGTCCCGGATAGCGAATTCGCCAAGAAATCATCTCATGATGGCAGCGTTGGGCCTTCATGTCCCATTATGCAATGTGATGAAATTATGATAGGTATAACATTAGATAGACTAAGAGGTAAACACAGTCTAATAGTAGGTATATAAAGTAGTAGTTAAATTATATAATTTGTTCAATATTATGTTTTTTAACTTATGCTTTGAACCATAAATGAAGAAAATGCATTACCCTATGATATTTAATATATTATTATCTATAATATAAAATAATTATCATCGTGTAAGCTTAACAGGCTTTCAAGGCCCACTGCTGCGGAAACCATCATAAGATGGTTTCTAGACGAATTCGCTATCCAGCACGGGTCGTCAGTCCATCACCAGAGAGGGAAAAGCCGGCTTCTTATCACCGGACAGTTCTTGTCCGGCAAACAGAACGCCCCTGACCGAGTGTTGACCCGATGACAGTGAGCACAAACACACCTTACCGACTCGGCCACACGTTCTCCTCTCTCATATATTATTAAAATAATATATGTACATTATATATATATGTATGTAAGTGTGTATATATATTATATATATACACATACATATTTTAGTCATTGTTTATTTTGGAATGTTTCCAAGTAATCAAGCATTGGCATTATGTAATCTGGAGTGCAATGCTAATGACCGCCACTTGTGAGAGAAATGCAACTTATGTGTGTAGGACGAGGGATAACTCGTTTTTTATTATGCATTGGCTTGAAATTCAATGTACCTTTTTTTTATTTTTATAAGTATTAATATGAGCATGCGTATGATTTTTTATTTATCCATACGTTAACACCGTTCTATAAATTAAGAAAACAAATGTGAACTTCCAAAAAAAATTCCTAGTACTAAAAATTCACTTCCTTGAATAGTACCTTTGGAAATTAATTAATCGACGTCTCATTTGTATTTTATTAAGGGGTTTCGTATAGGCAATTTTTATCAATATTGTACCATATTTATGGTTTTAACAAACCATGAATTTTTTAAAAAAAAATCCAGCCGTTTTTTTTATTATTTATACCTAGCAAATAGTTGAAAGGTTTTGTATACTCTCCGTACTGTATCCGAAAATTTGGGTTTTATCGAATTAATGAACCTTTCTGGGTCGACGTTTTTTTAAAAATTTTTTGCCAAATCTTTAATAAACGCAGGTCACTAAATGTTTTTTAACGGCGTCTATGACAAATGATGAATGATGATGTTAATATTACTATTATCTCGTAAAAAACGCTTTATGGACTCATGGAATGTACTAACAGTGTAAAAATAAATAAAATGAACACTAATAACTCAAATTTTTAAAAAAATTATTTTATTTTACCGAGGTAACGTTCTTCAAACATTGTTCTGATTTTTTTTTGTATGTAACAATTATTAATAAAATTACTAAGGCTTTTTAACGATATCTACATAATATACTGTATACAACATATATTGATACTATTTCCTACTGGGCATTGCACGAAATGGCCACCGCCGTTCTGTGAACATTGTTGGGGTGTTCGCGTGTGTCCAATTTTGCCTCGTGCTTACTTGGCATCCTTCTCCTCATGCCTTGTCATCCTCTATGAGTGTTACTTTTTTTTTGTTTGTTTAGGTCACTCGTCCAACATATTGATCCCATTTCCCTTTTGTCCTGTGTAAACACAGTTGATGGGGCGTGCGATGCTCCCTTTTATTTTTTTATTAATCTCATTCAATACACTTTAATTAACATTGGCCTTAAAAGACTAAACGGCTAAATAGACGTTTTTTCATTTGTACTAAAATGGTAACGTGACGTTCTACGAGCACACGAGATACCCAAAACGATGTTGAACCGAGGTAACCGAAAAAAATATTTATTGAATGGCAGAAGACTATTTGGCATATCTAGTGAACGAATTTCAAGTGCACGTAGTTGGGTAAAAGGCTAATATTTTTATATAGTGGCTACAAAAATATTTAAAAAAAATTAAATCGATAAAATCATTCGTTTAAGCAAAACATTAGGATTCAGTTGTTTGGTTGGTATTGGATACTGTGGTGGTTTTCAACTCAGAAAATAAGCTTTAGAAAAAAAGCTCGTTTAAACTTTGAAATGTTAACTGCACCTCATAGTACGAGACATTATTTTAAGGTTTAAGTGATCATAACTCTTTGTGAATACTTGGAATGTTTAAAATTGTCTTTGTAGAAAATTCTATTCTTTTATTTATCATCGAGTTAAGCACGGTCTCTTAACCTACAACTTCCTAGTCTTGTGTTTACTTTTTAGTTATGAATTTGTTAAAAGTCACTAAAAAGTATTTTATTAGATCATCTTACTGGATCATGTGTCATAATCATTTGCCAATAATGAAATAATCATAATGTGTTTTACAAACAACCAGTTTCGGGCAATACAAATATATTTGAAAATTAAACGTAAATAATAGCTAATCTATCTACTCTATAGTGTATAAAATACCGGCTGTTTATTTTTTTGAAATTTATTTTTGTTTTCAACAAACTAAGTAAACGTTACTTGCACAGTGTCATTAGTATAAACGGTATTTCGTACTTAGCTTTGATTAATTTATAAATTAATCAAATCATATTTGTTGATTTGGTTGAACGTGTTACAGGTTTTAATTAAAAAAAAAAACAAAAAGAAGTCTCATTCCACTGTAGTGAAATAATTATATGTTTAAATTTGATTATTTATTAATGCAAATTGCGGTTCTTTGAAAATTATTATTAGCAATATGCCGGTAGTGAAGTATAAAATGTTTTTTATTACATTTCCACTCGAATATTCACTAAATCATTAATAATTCTACTGCTTATTCCACTGGTTCGAGGTATATATTAATATTTGTATTTATACTTTTATAATATACGAATAAAAAAAAACGACTACAGGAATAAAGATTTTGGAAAAAAATATTAAATATCTATAGTTAATGTTCGATAGATAATCGATTCTATGGAAATAGGTAGGTTTCTGGCTGATGCAATTCAAATTTGAAAATACTATGATAGGCTGTTTGTTGTTAACGACAGTCAAGGACTTATGGTCATAGAAAGGAAACTGTTAATGTCAGATAATCGACATTATATTGTATAAATTATGTTGACGTGGAACTTTACGTAATGAATGTAAGAACTTTTTTTACTCTTCTTAAAATGACATAATAGTTTATAGTACTGAAATTCGTGTGGTAATAAAACGGCTTAAATTATCAATACAAATTTTTTTTGTGAAAATACAATTTGGGACTTTGGTTTAGTGGTATTTTCAGGCTATTTTGAAAACTTAAAAGGATAATAATTTTAATTCTTATTATATATAAACAATTAGTAACTTGATTTGATAAAAATTGAAATTACCTACTATACATTTTTTACATAAAATGACCACTCGATGTTTCCTAAATTTACTTCAACCCATGCCACAAATATATATTTAAAAATGTATTTGGCTTGTCTTGCTTTAATTTTTATATAAAACTGTTATGTTAACATATTTTTTTTTTGCAAGACAGTGGTGTCAGATTTTTTTCCATGTAGTTGTATTTTAGTTAAAAAACAAAATGAGTCACGTATTTCAAATAATAAGGTCTTACACTAAATTTTTTTTTTAAATAATCATTAATTTTTTTACTTTTACTATATAAAACAACACGAAGAATTAAAAAACAAATAAAGCTGAAAATATCAAAAATATACAATATTACATTTTACCTTATTTTATTTCAAGTATTTTAAATAGTAATGGGACTTGTTTTAGTTATTAAAATTGTTTTTAAGAACATAATAAAATGGAGAAAATATGTTTCAATCAAAGATAAATGTAACCACAAATCAAAAATTAATTTTTTTCTAATACAAGTTGTCGCTAATACATACGGTCTGCATAATGCCTTTTTTTTTGTGAACTTATAATATTACAAAATTTACTACCCGTTTTTGTCCATGTCGTCTCTAGGAACCGTTTAAATATTATTTTTGTAATGCAAACACTTTTTTTACGCGTTTTCACTTTAGGTAAAGTAAACATTAAATATTAGAAGAGCACACATACAAAAAAATGTAAGACTTAATATATACATATATAAATATTCGACGCTCAAACTGAATAAATATTCTACTTTAGAGTAAAACGTATATCATAAAACGTAGAATGGAAGTTGTTATATTTATACATACTAATATGCCTGTCATAATTGTCGTCACGTTAGCTGTATATGCCCTTTTGGCCAATCCTAGTAATACGTTTTACAAGGAAAATCGAGAATTTTACAGTATTGCCTTTAATATTCTATTCACACTCTGTAAGCCGATTGTATGTAAAGTATAGTTTATAATGTACTGTTATTATTATCTTTTTGCGAATTATCTGTACTTCGCTTTTAAGTTTTACGTGCTTGACATTTCCACTTCACAGACTCACATTATGTCTGTGTAATTCGCATAGTGTCATTTATAAGTCACTTGAATTATTTTTAGTTAGATTTCCAATCACACTTCTATAGCTAACATTTACATAAAACAAATTGTCACTTAGTTAGATGACGAATGTTGATAGTTAAGTATATACAGTGAGTAACACCGATAATGCGCTTTCGATATCACGCCTTCAAAACTACATTTAAAACTTACACGGATAACAATTTGGTCAATGGCATTATTATTGGATATTTCTGATCAACCCAATCTGGTTTAGCCGTGTAATTCGTAATAAAGTGTCTTTTTTTCGAGCGACATCAACTTATTGTCTAGTAATATCGCCTAAAAGTATTAAGTCGTTGCTTGTATGTAAAATCGTTACCCATCGCACTGGTATAAGACTTGGCAACGATTTCAAATCGTATATTATTATGTGTATCTTTTTCCAAAGCACTTCAGTAAACTAGAGAGTTGATTTACGCTAACGCGTCATAACTCACACTTATGTTATAAAATCGAACCCCCCGGTCTGTGAAATACGTATAAAATTTTCTTTTTGGAACCAACACAATTATTCCGACCCGGTACGTTTTTCTTGCAGTTCTATCTTAACATTCTCTTTAAACAATATTTGTATCCATTTACAAGTAAGTTTTCTTAACCGAGAAATACTATAACTAAACTATTGTTTTGTATTTTTCTGGCTGTGTAGTAGGTATATCCACATTGTCATCATGTGTTTGAAATAAATGGTAAGATAGAAACATTTAAGTATGAACCAAATAATTGTAATAATTATAATGTGCACTCTTCGCCTTGGGTTGTTCTCTTTGAAAATAAGTAAAAAAATAAAATTAATCGTGTCACTAAACGTTTGGAAGATGTTGGATTTTTAGTTGTTTCTGAGATTAATAATAAATAATAAACTTATATCATGCCCACAAGTATTTCCGTAAAAATACATATTGTGTATTATAAAATAAGTTTTGAATAGATATTTTCTCCGGTAAAACGAGTAAAGATTTCAAAAGTAAAACGCCAAAAGTGAATTCTTATATTGGTCGAAAAATATTCCTCGTTGGATTTACGATTTGCCCACGCACATTAATCGGATTTGTACATACTTTTATACCTTAAGTTAAATACGATTCTATAGAATTTTAAAATAGCAATTTCCGACGTGCCACTAACTCCTATAGATATAATATAATCCTTTAGCAAATAGCAATACTGATTTAGAGGGTTATACATTTGATTATTTGGTTGTATGACTAATCAATGATTATATATATTTAGAAAAAAGGAATACTATAAATATTATAAAGTTAGCTGTGATGCAAAGGTAAACATTTTCTCGCAAGTATCCTAATAAATGAATTTTTGTCCAATCATGATTTAATTTTTATGCACTATGCGTATGCCATCGGTTTACATGTACAATTCAACATAGTCAGTATTAATTTACGTTACCATAACTAAATTGCTGCTTAACATAATTAATTTCCAAATGTTTTAGTTAGGTCTACCTGGTTTATATGCCACCTTAATAAAATAAAAATGTATTGTCACCATCGATTTCATAAGAGATTTTACATTTATTTTAAAATCTTTTTAACCCATAACACGTATTTTTAATGGATATATATATTTATAAACTTTACTAAAAAGATAGTTAATCGGTTTAGTGTGTTTACTTAAGAACGATCATGTTTTTAATAGTTTTGTTTCGAGCCAATGTAGCATGCTAAACTACAACTTTTTAAGCGAGGCCAAATTCTTGGTTATTGACGCGTTGTTTGCAATTGGTGATACAAGCAAACTACGATGTCATTAATTTCGTGTCGCGTATCCTATTGGTGCATCAGCCTAGAATTAATATGTGCTCCGACAAATTAACCCCTTAAAGCCCGATCCCCTTTTTTTAACTACACTAACACCTGTCGCGACAGATTATTTATGACGGTTTGCATTTGGCTTTAACACGAAGCATTACTGCTAATTGACTTTGACTGGTATTAACTTATGCAATGTCTACCCTTTATACACGGTGAAATTCATCAATAATACAAAGTCGTCATTTACACTCGCCTCTTGAAAACAGAAAAATAGTTCAGCCGTGATATACGCATTAGTTTTAAAGTTTTGTTTAGAAGTTTGAAAGATCATACAAAATCTTAGTTTAATAACAAAAAGTCATATTTACAATTTTTACTAAAACTTGAGTTGTGCATATCATGAATTATGATAACTTTTAACCCAACCCTACTGAATTAATGTTAGTTACATTATTCAACAACCAATTGAATTAATTTCTGATGAGAAAATAAATTCAACCTTGTTTTTTTAAAACTCAACTTGTAACGACTTGAATATTTTTGTAAGTTGTGGAAAATGGGCTACATTGATTTTACTTTTTATAATATGTTTTAGTTGTTTAAAAAAACATAAATGTTTTAACTCTTGTCTCGGGAGAGACATTTCTCTACACAATATAAAAAGTGTAAAAAAATAAGTATTCATTTACATGTTTAGTCGTCTAATTCATTTTTGGCAAAAATTGGCCAATTTTATACTATAAAAAGAAAAAAAAACTGATCGACGTTTCCTTTATTAATAACAATAATTCATATAGTTTATCAACATTTTTTATATTTAAATCCGTAAGTGTAAACATTTATCTAAACATCGAAAACCGTTGCTTCCTTCGCTCAACTAGTATATTTTTTTTTTGTGATAATTATATTTTAATTTTATTACTTTTATAGACAATACCGTTTTGATGTTACCCATCAAAACGGCGTTGACAGATATTTGACATATTGTTTGTTTAGCGGTTAAAATAAAATAATTTTTTGATTTATTATTCTATCTATACCTATAACATCTAATTTGTGTTGTTACAACGTTTCACTAGTGCGATATCTAAATAAACATGTCTTTAAAATTTGATAAAATGGCCACACATAATATTATATAACGTAATAATTACACTTTAAATCACCAAAAAGATCTTGTGTGTGTTAGGCTATTTAATTAACTAATTAAATGTGTTCATAAAAATAAAACACTTTCATTCGTGGTAGTTAATATGACGGTCTAGCCAATTGGCTCGGTTTTATAAAAAAAATTTAAAGCCTTGGTTTAAAGTTTTGGTTGCGTCTTGTACAAGTGTTAACCATGTGGATAATCCACTTGAACAAATTGTTTGTATATAAATTAATGATAAAATATGTTTGTGTTTTGTTGTAGAGTCTTGTAGACTGGAACCGGCCCATGTTCTGGCAAGTAGGTTCGCTGGGTCCGCGGTATAAAGAATGGGTGTTGGCTCCCGTCGACAGAAAGCTGAGGTTATTCGGTTCAGATTTAATCGAGTCGCTCACTATTACCTCATGGTACATGGTGCCGTCGATTTGGATACCTGTGATGTTATGTTTGGTATATACTGGTTACCAGAGACTAAAGAGTCACATGTTAGCCACTAGTTCAATATATCAGTCGTCTACGTACGGTGAGTAAACCATACATCTAAAATAAGATAATATACAGGCCACGGCCTGATTGATTTGTAATTTGTGTAAATCTAATAACTTTGGGTATAATGAATTCGAATAACAATCATCATACAGATGTAGTAAATTTGTCCACTTTTATCAGAATTGGGCAAAATTAAAAAATAAGATAATGAACAATATGAAATTTGACGAATAATAGAGGATTTTTTAATTCGTGTAAATCATTATTTGAAACTCAACAAATAAAAGATAATTACTTAATCGTTTATTCATTTTTTATAATTACACAATTATTTTAAATTATTAGTTATATCTTTGATAGTTTAAAAATAATATCTATTATTATTATTTAAGCATTTAAACAAATTATAAATAATACAAACATGTGTTAAATATGTTCGCGTACAAGCAATGTATATTTTCTATATTTTTGTGACGGTCTACATACGTATGATTGAAATCCAATAATAAAATACAAATTTAAGTGCAATTTCTAGTTGTAAATATACATGTGAACCATATATAATGTTTAGTGCAAAAATTTTTGAAAGTAATTATTTTATCAATGGTCAATTTGTTTATAGAATATATTATAATACATATATATTCAATACTTATAAATTTAATATATTGAATTGTTTGACACCAGCACATATGGAAAAATATGTATATGTAAATGTTTTTATATTTTAGCATTACTACAATAATATAGTATGTTCTGTACGGTCTGTCATAAACGAAATTGGAATTTTCATATTCTATTTTCCGTTAAAAAAAACTAAAGACCATAAATGAGTATATATATTTTGGACGGCTTTTATGTTTCATCAATCATCGTATTTACTTACTCCAATTTGCCTTTCGAGACTTTACTTCAAAGTCCAAGTTACGTCATTGATGTTGACGGTTAATTTATAAGTCATATCCTAGTTTTAATTTTAGTCGACGAATTAACCTTCGAGTGAGTACATGCATAATGCGTTAACGACATCTTTTAAAATTTAAACCGTCAAAAATGAACTTCGTTCATAATTTGTATCGCTTTAATGTGTATCTAGTTGAATGTGAAACGCGCACAACCTGTACATTTTCCCAACCTACTTGCCAAAAAAATATACAGTTATTCATCAATACTCGCGAATGAAAAGCTTTTTCTGTTATAGCTTCGAGGTTATTGTACTGTTATAAATGCGATGCGACCTTTTCTCGTCAAACACAAATGTATACTAACATACTAAAAACTTGAGCGCCTTAGGTTCGGTTAAATTGTATTATGCTTCAGAAAAAAAACTTCCAAAAAAAGTTCCCTAAAAAAATTTAATTTGTTTGTATTTATATATATTTTTTAACAAAATCACCCACTGTGATCTACTGTGCTTTGCATGTGGGTTTGCCAAAAAACGTTCAGTTGGCCGAACGGGAAGTCGGCCAGACGATTTTTAGGTCATGACGTCAAAACTCTTCGGGTAAACGAGATAGCATGTTGTAAAATGAGAACTGCAAGCCAAAATATAATATTATGTGTTTTAGTACACGGTCAATTTATGAAAACGCGATTTTTACGCCATCGGCAGTTGCTCTACAATATTCTGAAATTATATAGTCCTAATGCTAACACTATTGAACCGTATAACATAATTAACCGGTCCCTAAAATAAATCCTAAATTAATTATAATTTAGATACGCGTCTGTATCGAATATGTTAACTATTAATATTTGAGTCGAACCCAACTCATTTACTTGTAGTTTCAAAAACTAACCCCTCATTCCCTCCCGTTTACTACTTAATGTAACTTAACGATGCCTAAAAATTTGTAAAATAAAAATAACCCGGCATTCAACTTAAACTTTAAATTAAAACGATACTAGCATACAATTAAAAATACAAGTATACACTAATAAATACATAACAGCCAATCTTCATTCGATTACAACATGCACAGCTAACCGACTAAAAATGAAAAAAATAAAAATAAAAACCAACTATAAAAATATATAGGGACACACTACCTTAAACCCTCAAAACTCTTTTGAGTTTTATGTAACCCTATGAGTTAGGACAGCTGTGGATGGAATACGCTAAAAATGATAAGAAAAACGTGGAACGGACACTATAAGAAATCTCAGATTGAAAAAAATGAGTTGGAACAACTGTACAGGAAAAAGCTTGTGTAAACTTATTATTTTGATTAGTTACTAAAATAATATATGTTATTATTCTTCTATTCTCCCAGTATAATAAATGTTGTCCATTACTGTCGTAACAATCGTTGTAAACTACTCATCGAGTCCTTGCTATTATATTCTACCGTTTCATCCTTGGGCACAGTTAAAATATATAAACCGCTATCGCTATATGTTCGGTATGCATGTTGGTAATTTGTTTTTTTGTAAAAAATTGTACTCTAACATTTTTCATGGCCGTCTAAGTTTTTTATTTATATCATTCATATCAAATCATATTCATTGTCAAGTATCTCATTAAAACTCATCTATGTGCGTAGTTGCTACTAATGATAGGTACAACAAGTTATCTTTATTCATATTCTAAATAAAATATCAAATCTCATTTTTTCATTTCTATTATTTAAACTGTTATGGTTTTTATTTATTATGATTTTTTATTTTGTAGCGGGACCTAAGATTTCTCTAACATTAGTTAGGTTATTGATTATGTTGCTTAAAACATTTTTGAACAAAGTTTTTGATTATTTTGAGGGTAAATTAAAACAAAAGTAAAATCTCTATAAAAACTCTTTATTTATAATAATAACTAAACTGGAAAAGTAATCTCACTACAGTTATTATAATTTTTTCTTTTAATAAATTAGATAAGTTTAAAATGTAAGTTGTATTAAGTTTAGAAAAATTATATAACCAAATTGGGTCAGGCATTTTAGCAAACACGCAGGTTTTTCCAACTCTAAATACAATTTAAAAATATATAAATACAGCAGAGATGTTTTATTTTGATAGTGTTTTTGGCTCTTACTTTCCTGCTACGAAGACTACAAGATAAACTCAAGTTAATTAAAAAAAACTTATTTACGTCCATCAATTTTTATTTTTGTTACAGACAAATAATGTTTAAGATCTAAGTTTGGTTAATTGTTAAGTTATCCCTAGAATAAAAAGAATTAATTGTATTGCAGTAAATTAGTAAAAACGCAATTCAAATGGATAAAATTCAATTGAGCCGTGTTAACTTAGTAAGATAATATTAGTATTTAATTTAATACTTGATTAAGCCAAGAACCAAGCTGAGATCTTTGCAGATGACCTGTTGTGCCTAAGATAACTGTTGATTAATTCACATCTGGATAGAATTAATATTTTCTTTAAATATGATCTCAAAATCGTAATAATTAGTTTGAATTAGGTTTATGTTAGGGATGAGTTTTTACAGAAATTATTATTCTTTAGTAATAATAAATTAATACTGTCACCATCAGTTCCTTTTTAAAAATGTTTCAATTTTTTTCATGGATTTTTTAAAATGTAATAATTAACATTCGATAGTTTTTTCAGTTTTTTTTTAGTCATTGACTAGGTATCATAACATTTTATCACATGTTTCATGTGTTATTAAGCGTCACCGACAATGATGACGTTGAACGTTTTATGGCTGATGTATAAACCTTTTATTTTTAACAATTTATTATTTAATCAATTAAGTTTTGACGGCTTAACGGATTACCTTTTGGATTTTATGCGATCACAACTTATTTAAGTAATCAAAAATTTGCCTAATTAACCGCAAACGGTTTAAGTCGGTTTATAAGACTATAATTTAACACAATATAACCCGTCTCGGGTCCAATGGCACGGCGTTTGTATTCGTTGTTTCTATTATATTATATAGTTACATAATTATTGCCGCACATGCGGGTTCAACCGCGAATAAACTTTCTGGAACAATGAAATAACTGGTATGAATTTTTTATATTTACCTACGATACTAATATATTATATTACAGTGAATATTAATAACGGCCTTCCATGATGCATAATAATGGATCTATATTATATTAATTATAATTGACGGCGAGGAGGAATATAATGGCAATGCTGAGTTACGATTTTTAACAAACCTTTATTCACACGATTGATCGAATAACGTGATAAATTATTAACCTAAAACAATGTTGGAACACCCATTCCAAAACAATTTTAAAAACGTTAAAATAATTTTCATTACAAATGATTAGGTGGAAATATGCTTGTGGTCAATTTATGTAAATACGATTTATTTCCCACCGCACGTACTTAACCTTCTTTTTGATTAATTGAACTTAATTTTGATCGAAAATTGGGTACACATTTAGTTAGAACCATTTTACGTTATTCCATATCATAATCCTTTTTTGCACGTCCCGTGTTATTTTTAAACGGAGCGTAAAAATTTAATTTTAGAAAGAAAACTGGCGCTTTGAAATTGTCTGCACAATAAAACCAGATACGTTTAAATCAGCCTAATGCGTAACTGACAATCATTATTTAAAATTTGTTTTATGTGGAACATTATATACCTAACTGGTTTTTAGAAATAGCTTATTCGTTTTAATACGAGTTTCACAAAAATGGCGAGTAAAATAGTAATTTATTTTATATCTAACATTAATGATACGTATTTTATTTAATATATATATATATATTTTTATTTTTAATTGTATTTTTGAGGGATGACGATGTTGTGAACGTTGTACCGCTATCCCGGTAAACAATTATTAATTTATATACCGAAATATCAGCATTTTGTAATAAGAAGTAATTAAATTTATTATTACTACAATGCTATGTTATGTCAGCATTCGCGATAATAATAATTAACAACTATAACCAGTGATTCTTAAAACTACATTATCATATTGCCTTCAAATCATACTGTAATTTGTATTATTCATCGTATTTTGAACATTTAAAGTACACTTCTAAGATGTATTTATAAAATATATTTAAATTAGAGAACATTAATAAATTTAAAGTTATACTAATAGCAGTCCGGATTTTATTTATATTTTTTTGAAAATTTCTCGTTTTAACTGAGATTATTGTTTTGATTTTTTATTGACTTAATCATTTAAACCGCGTATAAAACAATACCATATGACTGCTTCCATAAACGTGTTAGTTAAGGTTGACCATTGTTTGTTTTAATTAAGTGCAACGGAATAACAACTTATAAAGCTAGGCATTGGGGTCTGGTACCATCCGCCGTCGTGCCGGCGGCGGATTCGTGAGGGGATTCAACAGGTTCAAAACTCTAGTCGTTTATCTTCTCCTTCCGCTCCTCCCGTTGATTATAAAAACAAAAGTACCGCGAAAGTTGGTAAACTAAAAAAGAACTCCGGAGGACGTCGGCGGGGCAGGATATAGCACGTCAATACGGAAAAGTCGTTGTACTTTCGCTCGTCGAAACTGGCGGTGGCTGACCGCTGTTGTACCGTTGTCCACATCGCCGCATACGTTATTGCCGACCCCCGGCGGCGACTGTATAATATAGTGTAGTATAATATAGTAATTTTTCCGGGGCGGCGCCATACTCAACGCCTCTCTAACCCGCCGATCCGTCCGGCGGGGCTGGAAAGACGACGGGTAGTAGAGGCGAATGCTGGTCGGCTGTGTCTCGCCGTGGCGCCTGTTGTCGTTCAGGCGGCAGACGCCTAGTCGCCGAGACTATGCCGCTAAGCAGCCGCCGCGCCGCACTTTTCGCCCACCGCTCGTACGCACCACGGCGGCAATATCGATCCCGCCGCACGCGCGACAGAGTCGTGCGTGCATACTGCAACCACCCGGCAGACGCTACTGTCGTTATTATCATTATAATTTATAATACACGTATTAAGGTACCATCTCCGCTGCTCCCCTAGGTTTTCTTTAATTGTGTGTACATCTTCATTAAAAAAACGGGCTCAGGAGGGGATGTTTTCTTTATGCTCGTCAACTACTCAGACGAAGGATCAATTTGAAATTTAAACGGTTGTCGTTTTTTTCACTGTCAGCAGTTAGTTTTTTTTAAGGGAAAAAATGTAGCAAAACATTTTTACTCAGCTATAGCCTAAAATACAGATTCTATATTATACCTCTTCTAAACAATTGTATACTTGAATCTTGACACTTGGATTGAACAACGATTGATACGTAATTTTAAATTGTCTTGCCAGTACTTGAATAGGAAATGCAAACCTGTCTAAAAAAAATAATCATATTAATGATAGCCGTTTTAACACAACAGTACATATAAGCCAAGTTATTAAACGTAAAAAATTGATTTAACAAATATATTTTTAATTATAATAATAGTTTTTTATTAATAAAATAAATCAGTACGTTAGTATTAAAGTGTAAAACCATTTATTTATTGTTTCAATGTAAAAAAATATATCTTAAATAAATATAACAACATATGCTATGCCAATGAAAATTGCCAATAATTCCGTTTATTCATATTATAAAACGACTCTTTTTTACTGTAAAATGTATAATGTTCTAATTATTATATATTTAATATTATGCTTCGCGTTCTATCATTCAAACTTATATTTACATCAATATCAAAATCATTTTTCTGTTGTTAATATAAAAAAAAGAAATTATTATAATCAAGTCATGGGGAATAGAAAATAGGGTATAAATTTGTTTATATATAATTTCCAAAAAGGAAACTAAGTTAATATTTAGTAGAATCAGTTCTAAATAGTACAAATGTTTGCCTGCATACATATTGTGAAAAATATTGTACTTGAGTTTACTCTGTTGTTGTTATTTTATTTGTAACGTTCTATGTATCTTTCTACACTATAATACATATGATAGTGTTTAAAGGTGATTTTTTCCCGACGGTCGACAACTACGGTCGGTCTAAACTAATAATTGATAGGTGTTCAATGATTACATGTAAAAATAAAATACCTAACGCGCTATTATATTTGGAATAACAAGTACCGTAACCTAAGCATTCGGGTCTTTAATTACCTGACTCGATAATGTTCCTACTCAGCTGCCTAATCGATCGTTAAGTGCGATTTTCGGTTTAACCAATGATAATTATTACTTCAAATCAGTAAACTATATATGCACTTTAGTCTATACCTATAGGTTAAATTATTGTCGCTATTCATGCAATATAGCGCAAAATCAATCACGCAGTCGGATAGATTTTGATCGTCCACGCTTAAACATATATCCCGTTAAATGGACCGAAAGTTCGCTGTTGAATAATGTAGACATTTAAAATTAATTATCATAGCGCTAAACCATACGATGCATATTTGTGTATATTGTAATGTATGTAGACTTTATCAACATCTTCGAAACGTCTCGTCAGCGTCATTAAAATAATCGCTTACCAAAGTTGCAACGCGCCTAAACGTGCATTTAATGACAAAAAATATGTCATTATTATTATACGTGTAAGAGACAATAGTAGTTTTTTTTTGTTACTAAATAATTAGCTGTATATTATGTTATCACAAATTAAAAAAAAAAAATCAATGTTTATAGCTCGATATTAAAAACAAAAAATAGAAAATCAATATTTCTTGGCCACACAGAAGAAATGTTAAGTGAACATCCTAGAAAGTGGCTTCGCGTTTTATTTTATACACGTAGGAAATGTTCTCTTTCTGTTCTTCTATAAGTTGTCCGTAGAGTAACCCAACACAAGTAGTCAACATTTTAACCAAACTAATTGTAAGTTACACTTGATCAATAATAACTCTCTCAGATTGTCTCCCATTGTACTGAGTTTATATGTATTACTCTTTTATTTTTACTGTGTTAATTTTGTTAGGTGATTTCAACTATTGAATCTGTGAAAAATTTGTTTGGCAATTTAGACGGAATTGAAGTTTAAAATCATAGGAGTTCCTAAGCTAATTTATTAAAAAAATGTTGTTTTGAGTTCTCAAAAAAATTATTAACTGAAATTATTGAGGTATTTTTATTTTGTGGCTTTTGATTTTTCTTATTGTTATTATTTCTTATTTCTTTTTTTAATTGTCTTTATTATCGACACTATTAATTAATAATAATAAGTTGTGATAAAATGGGAGCGTGGATAACTTCAAATTTGCAGAATGTAATTGTGTTTAATATTCTAGAACATATTTTTCTGATCAAGTTTGCCTTACTGCGTCTAGTTTGTGACACACTTGTTGAGCTTGATAATTTAATATTATGTTGTGGTAATGAAAATAATTGTTTACACTGTATTTTTTCTTTTTGTTCAGATTACTTATCGTTAGGAACGTGGGTTATATGGTCCACCGTACTTGGCCTATTGTTGTGGCCTCTTATAGAGTATACAATCCATCGATGGTTGTTCCACCTACAGCCGCCGGACAATTCACCGCTACTCATCACGTTACATTTTGGCATTCACGGACTGCATCACAAGGTAAAAAAAAAATGTTTAATCGTTTTTATATGACATATAATTTATAATTAAAATATATAATCGAATAAACTTCTGCGTTTTTTAAGAAGTATTCTAAAGTTATTGCGATATCAATGTGAAGGCGTCGATATCCCCAACAAATTGTTGACGTAACTTACTTTTAAAAAACATTTTTTTTTAAACGATAACACGTGTTTTTTGTATTACCGACGAAAAAGGTAGTAACTCAATTGTGTTATTCAGAACCTCTGGTCTATTCAAGATAAAGACTTATTTGCCGGTTATCAGTTTAAAACATATATATATATATATATATTTTTTTTTTTTTAATTACGTCAGTTTTCAGGGTTAACGTTTCTACTCCTGTTTTCGGTTGTAGCAAATATTACGCAAACCATAAAACGCTATATGCGTCGTTTGCATTTACACAGCTATGAGTTTTTTTGGAAGCTGACTTTTGAGCTTACAATAATTTGAATCGTTGAAATTACTCATTAGGATTATAATATAAGTGTGCACATACAATATGTATTGCCATATTTACCGCTTTCCAAATGAAGCCTTATAAAAAGGCGTACATATATGTACAGAATTGCAGTGTGCTGTATCGATAACCAATAAACGTATGTATTTCAGCTGTCATAATATGATATTATATTACTCTAGATGGTGAACGTTATCTATTTGCGTGCATGACATTCTTACAACTTTCTATTAGTTACAAAAAACAAAGCTATGAACTGGTCGACATAATCGTTGGTCGGGTCAAAAAAGCCACTCAGTGTTGTCTAAAAAAAATTTGTCAACAAACTTAAATGATATATTTTTTTTAGTTTGCCATAGTGATTTCTCCTGGCGAGTGATTCCAACAGTAGTCGGTAACGGCTTGTCACTTTCGACGACTAATGATTGTGTCCGCGTTGTTATTATTATTATTATCTGTTTAACTTATAAAAGACCCATTAAAACCGATGATGTTGTATTTGGACAACAGTATTGTGTACTAATTTTTGTGCAATAGAAAAAGTATAATAGTATGGTTAAGTACAAGCACTCGTTTATCCGACTAGAACAGATTTGAATTGCCCAGCGGCAAATACCTTCGGTAAAGTTTTTACTTCGAAAAGAATTTGTTTCCAACCATAAATACTCGTATCTTAACGAGGAACGAAATGCGGTAAAATAGTGTATCTGCAATGGTTTTCCGCTCCAGTTCTTTATCCGGTCTACTCTCTTGAGTGTTATAAACTTTGATCAGTGAGTTGGTTAAATGCATCACTGAGCTCATTCGAATTGCAAGTATTTCCCTGTTAGTTTATTGTGAGTAACGGAAGTGTATTTAATTAATTATTACCCATTGAAGAGTTTGGTTTTACAAAATATGTATAATTTTATCTCAGTGGATGATATCATTAAAATCGGAATGGGGAAAATCTAGAACTGTTATCCATCGTAAGTATTTTGTTAATAAAATACAACCAAATATTTTATTTATCTGGGTTAACGGTCTCAAGTGAATACGATATGCATAATAGACATCAAAGGATATCGCTTGTTCCTTTGGTTTTTTACCAGAAATACACACTTAGAAAATAAATTCAAAATCACTTGGACGCGATATAATTGATGAAATTATATAAAACTACCATTGCCGGTATAATAAACTTTAAAGATTCATAATTAGAGGTCACAATATTAGAAAATATCAGTTTTATCATTTCAATGGGCTGTAACTTGATAAAATAATTTTATCTTAAATATCAAGAGAGTTAACTTGAAGTGTCATATTCCAGCTTAAAGGATCTTTTTTAAAATTTTAAAAATGTTGAATAGTTATTATCAAGTTTTTTTTAATGAAAAACTAAAGTTTTCCATGTTTAATAATAAAACGTAAAAAAAAATCACGAGGAAATACTTAGAGTGAAGCTATACATCTGATATTTTTGGAACTTCTTGTTTGAGTAAGCTACTATTGATTAAAATGGTAAGCCGTAGGAATAACAAAATAAAAAACTTGTTTACACTAAGTTGCACTAAAAAGAAATATCAAAACCCCTTAAAGTCAACGAGTCATTGGTAGGTGAAAATAACTTTTCAGAAGTAGTTGCTGTAGAAATATGTTAGTGCGCTTACAAGTTCTCGATCGATTTGTAACCTTCGTGGCGAGCCCCTTAAAATAAGAAGTGTTCGCCGAAAGTCAACGACGGCCATTGACATTAAAAAGGTACTTTTAAAAGTATTTATAGTTTTCTAGGAAAAATTAATTTTCCAACAAGTTAAAAAGAAAAACATTGTTAGAACGGTACTACAGACAAAGATTATAATATATCCTATTACAAAATGCGATTCAACTGCGGCGTATGCTCAACATATTGCCATTCGTTAAATTAAAGCGGTAGTCGTGATTTTCCCGAATTCAGCTTGTTCGCTTTCTTTACCCCATCGTCTTTGGTCGTATTCTGTGCGTCTGTTTGGTTTGCTGTAATCGCTAAATATGAATAAAAAATATAAAGTTACTCCGATAATTGTGGCGCATATACACAATATAGTCTAAACACATATCAGGATAATCATATTTCTATATGCAGCAACACTCCTGGCCGCTGACGACAAAAAACAATTAAGTTTGTTCCGTATGCCAGTACTCATGCATTTAACTGTTCACGCCATTTTTATGAAAATTCCTGTAGAAGCAATTTGTTTCATGCTTTGGCTAATACATTGTTTTTCACCCGTTTTGTATGAGACCGTTTATTAGTAGGATTACCATGATATCGTTGATTTTTTTTTATTCACGATAGTAAAAAAATCATATTAATGCAGACAGTGCATTTTGAAAAAGAGAACTTGATAATTAATTGTATTCTACAATAAAGTCGTCCAACTACCGTGTTAGAAAATCCTGGAAAGTCACCATGTTATTGTTTGTTGCAGGAATTTTTTCATCATGAAATAATGAAACTAAGCACCCGGTTGGCAATAACGATTTCAATCAAATCTATTGTAATAATTGATATATTATAATATATTTAATTGGTGTATTATAATTATAATTTTGTATTCCCTACTCAAGTCTTAAAACGTATCCTCATAAACGATATAAGCGATCCAATAAAGATAATGACATGGAACTAGCAAGTGATTGAGGCGCATTGATGGTTTACAAGAAATGTATAGTTCAAAGTTAATCGATAGTTCGTGTGTAGTATTTATATATTGTTATTGGCAAGGACGGGTGCGGTGACATGGGCTTGGTCGCAGAACGGGAAAACTACAATTTGCTGTGCTGCTAATATTCCATCCACGATTGGCCTTGGCGTTTCTTCCGAGTTTTGAATACGAACAATCGAGTCCTCTTCGAAAATCCCTCTCATCATTTTCTCTGGTAGATTTCATTATTGAATAACACGTTTACAGATTGGAGAACCAATAAAGAAGTCGCCACGACCGTCCAGCAATCTTGCTCTAGAACCTAGATTCACTATTTTATTAACTATAGTAATTATAAAGATTCATGAAGTTTAATGATAAACTAACGATCTTGTAGCTATAAAGTATAAACCGTTTTTTGTGGAGTATACAAAGTATAGCTGGTTTACCTTATCTGAAAAGCATATTTTGACGATTCATCATCATTGGTTTATGCACGGAGGTATACTGAATTTTTCGAAATTACATTAGCACCTTCTCTTAATTTTTCCGTTGATCGGAAGTATTCAATGTTAAAGATATCTTTCAAGGAGATCATTTTTAATGCATCATGAATATCAATACATGATAATTGTAAAACAATACTTCAGCAAACATATACCGCCCATATCTATACAATTAACTGAACTTATTCGGTCGTTCCGGCGTTAATATTTTATGATGTTAAACACGCTTTATCATAGACATAGTTCGACTTCTAAATGTGAAGCTAATTACACTTGCACGTGTTAAATGATGTACGTGTGTCCCTCAAAAATCCTCCTCTATTCATCGTTACGTAATCGATGAAATACTGAATAACTGAATCATCACGATTATAAATAAACCGTGAACTCCACTCTTGTGTGCACTCACATTCGCCAGTACCTACTTGTATTACTAGTATTTGTGTTTGCCGAAACATGATAATTTTTGGGAAATATATCAGGAAATCATGTAAATATTTCTTTTTCGATTATCATTTATAGGAATAAAAAATTGTAATAAGAAAAAATATTTTTAAATGTTTACTCAATAAAATAATACGATTATTAAACGCTCGTCGGTGAGATCTTCGTCACTTTCCCCTCTAAATTGTACCTGAAGAGAAATTCCCCGCCCTCGTTCTCATACTCAGAATTATATTGTTGTTGCTAATTTTTTTTACAAAAATAGATTTTTAAATAAAGAGATAGACTGTTAAAATATACTCTTCGTTAAACAAAACATATGCAAAGCATGGCTGATGGTTTAAAAATGATCGTTTCGTAGACAAAGTATACTTAAAAAGTAGACGTATAGGCACGTTTTAATTGGTAGTTATTGGTTCTAATTGAATAGTGCTAAAATTCAAATATCATATTATTAATCAGTCAAGATTAAAGAAACTAATTTAATTTTGCATGCAATATATTTTTATATGTACGGTTATAGATGATGATGCGATTCGCTGCCCTAACAACTTTTGATTAATTGGAATTATTTGAGTAAACATCACTGTTATTTTTAAAAACGATGAGTCGTCTGACTATTTGATTGTTCGATCGTTTATAGATAAGTTTTCCATCAGACATTGTAAGGTCATTCTGTTATATATTTTCTGTTTAGTTTAATATAAATTTCCAAAAATATAATTTTCAAATAAAACGTAAATTGAGTTAGTTTTACTCTCGACTTTATTTACAATAGAATTAATCGTCTGGTGATAAATATAATTAGTAATTTGCTGTATAATCTTATTGCCGATGATTTAAGACATCTGAGACAGTAGACATTTAAAACGCAGAATCTTCAATTAGTTTGCTTTGAATTTTAAATTAATTTGGCGTTAAACAGATTAACAATATTAGTGCAGTTGTTTTTCGTTTGATATTGTATTAAACTTTGTTCACTTTGATCTTCACGTGCACGTATAACACATTGCGCCCTAAAAATCAAATAATATTTCATCAAAATGAAAAACATATAAATTATAATCTAATTAAGTAATTTGGTGCTTGTTGCAAAAACCTTTTAGTTCAGTGCTTTCGTCCGTCGCTATTCAAATCAGAATACAACTCGTTTTGATGTACTATTAATACTTCATGTATCATTTAATATATTACGTTCGTGTGTCAGTCGCTTGTAAAATTGTTTGATTTAAAAGACCCACAGACGTCCTGTATATCTATGATAGATATACAGTAGTCCCTAATACTTAAAATGTATTTGTTTTTTGTTATTTGCCTTTCAAACGTGAAACGTTCGTTTATAATTTACAAAAGTTCCTCATACTTAATAACAAAGTGAATTGATTTTTTTTCGGTTATTTTTTGTTAGTCCTACTATATTATTTAATATTAAGGACTGGCGGTTTTCATATATAATCAGAAGTGATATTATTAGTGGTTAAAATGTTACTAATAATTCAGCATAATATTATTTCGGACCCGTATTTAGTATAAAATAGCTATTAAAAAAGTATTTTTTCGAAAGATGACTTAAAAACCTCATATTTTTCATAAAACTCGAGGAAAATGTATCAAAAATATTTAAAAACTAGTGTGTTTGAAAATAGAAAAAGTATGTGGACATTGTAAATGTTCATTCATTCCTACTAACTAGCTCAACCAAAATATATTATGACTTAACAAGACACCAAATACATCAGTTTCCAATCACATTCAGTGTGATTCAATTAGTTTTTTTAATTCTCCAATAGTTATTTGTTTCAACAACTTTTTAAAAAACAAGTTTTTTTTTTCATTTTTAAAATTGTATTCCTAGTTTTAAAGACTTGGTTTTTAGCTTTATTTTTACTATTCACAAAGTGTTGCCATTAAATAATTTTTAGTTTTAATAGTTGCTATTGAAATCAAATATTGTACTTCTATTATTGAAAGTAATACATTTTTAAAATAATCTGAGAACTTTCTCAATCATAAAAGCCGCCGTACTGGTTTAAGACTTAAGTGGAATGTTGTCATTACAAAACCTTTTTACATAACTGAAAAGTCATGATATAACCATTCCTGTATTTTAAATACTTTCTAGTGTTTCCAGCATATTATTATACAACTTTTTGGTCGCATGTCTGTAAAAAATATAATATAAAAGTGGGAATTTTTAACAGTTCAGATTTTTCTAAATGTCATACAAAAGGATAATTTTTGAGCTGGATATTTGAATGCAACACTATTGTGGTAAATATTTTTAGCATTGTTTTTTACTCGAAGGATATTTTTGTTATACATTTTTTTAAGAATCATGAAAAATAATTTTTAAAAATGCTCAATGAGCATAGGTCTTAGACGTATATGCATTATAATTAATATAAGTATGCATAACTGACAGGTTCAGTTTATTGATGGTACGATTGACGTATAGATAACACACAACTAACGCGCATTATTGCTATAGCAACAACCGCAATCAACAATGTCAGAAAATAGTATAATTATATAGTTACAAATGTAACATTACATATGTGTACAATAACTTTGCACGTAACAAATGAATTTAATTTATAAAAAAAAATTACCATTCTAAAAAAATAGAAGAAAAGGTATTTTTGTGTTATTGTATACTCAACATTTGCTTCGTAAACAATTAAAAAAACACTTGTACAAAAAGCTAGGGGCTTTTAATAGTATATATAATGTCTAACACTTGAGCAAAGACCATAAAGAGTTTTCTCTTTATTCGATTTGCATTCGAATATGCATAATTTATATACTCAACAGTAATATATGTATTATTACACATACACAAACACCAAATATACATAGTAAATCTAAAATCTTAAAAAGAAAATTGTATTAAAAAACGAATTTATTATATTTTTCTTATGTTTTAAGTTTTAACTGTTTTAATTAGAATAGTTTATATTCTATTTACTTTATGGTCGTTCTCACTAGCTTACCTTAAAAGTTTGCATTACTAAAATTATAATCTAAGTCTGAACTATACTTGAATGTCAAAACTATACATTAATGTGCTATACTTAAGCTAAACTGACGAGGACAGCCAAAATATTTTATCCACACAATTAATCAGCGTAGAGATTTTTTTTCTAACATTAACCGTTCAAAATGGGCTCCCCTGAACGTTGTGGTTTTACGCATTGTGGAAAAGGTCGTTTGCGGTAAAAACAAATATTTCTTTAAATGTTAAAGGAGATATTCTCATTTACATGTAAAAAATGTCTTCTTGGTACTATGTTGGCGCGATATAAAACGATTTTCTTATGAAAAGTTCAATATTTGTGATTAGAAATCAGTTATAAATTTTAATTTAAGCATACAATTTCGTAATCATAAATTAAAGCACAAAATTAATTTATTTTTAAATTAAATTTTTAAAACTATAAAATTAATTTAACTAATTTTATATTTTTTACATTACATTATTTTTATGGTACATGAGAAATATAGTTATACTCCTTAAACTTAATACCATATTCCAAAAAAATAGGTAAAATCGTAGGAAGAATATGTTGAATTTGTAGGAAAAAACTTGTCGTAGTTTAATACCATCATCTGAATAAAGAGAAACGAGCCAAGACTTAACAGCATTTTTTTATTTGTCAACAGGTGCCATTTGACGACCGACGGTTATTATTTCCCCCGGTACCCGCGGCCATACTCATATCCGCTGCTTATGCCATTTACCTTGCGTTATTTCCTTATTGGATGGCACCACTGGTATTGGCCGGTATGATAGCTGGTAAGTAACACATACTTTAAATATAATACATAATATTCTAGCTACTTACAGAAATAATGATGCATCTCAAAAAAAAAAAAAAAAAACCCATATACTATTTATAAAAATATACTTAGCTCATTAGCTTTGGCATTAAGTTAATTTAAAATAAAAATTAGCGATTTAAATAAATAATTATTTTCTACATACATTTTCGCGCCAAAAATAGATTCTGCGGTGAGCATAAAACTGAAAACATGGATACATCCGAAAATTATCCACATAATATTTAAATCCATGAAAGCATGAACACATTATTAAACTTACCATGATAATAACCGATCAATTCTTCTTCTTCTAGTTACCAATATTTTGATTGGTTAGCTGCATTCCTTTACGTCTCTATCATAATTGCGTCCCTTTAATTCTTGGTATTTATTTTTCTCCACGTATTAAAGGATCTATGGTATGTTTTCTATTCTTGGTTTACAACTTTTCGTACGTACAAACCTATTTTCATTTTTATGGTGTTCGGCCATCTTATCATGTTACACCTTCTAGACTTAATTATTTGCCATGCTTACCATTTTTTTATTTTATTTAGTACTTCTTCATTGGTCACTGTTTCGGCCCTAGGAATTCTTAGCATTCATCGATAACAATACATCTCAAATGCTATAGCTTCTTATTCTCTACACTCAATAGTCAATACATACACTTTCATGATTTTTTTTTCTAGTATTTAATCCAACGCTATTTGTTGCGAATAATTTTTTTTTTGTGTAAAGGCCATTTCCTCTGCTCTAGGTATTCTACTTACTTACAACGATATTCTTCTGTTACTACTTTCAAGGTAGATAAAGTTTCGAACTTGTTCAATTGGTACTCTGTCTATGTAAATGTCAGCGGTTACTGTATCATTTTTTCTACAAACCATTGCTCTGGTTTTCTTGTTAGGTTCATTCCATGTTTCATTGTTATTTCTTCCAATTTTTTTAGTAAAACCTAAAAGTTTTACTTTTTTCCGAGCAAATCGAGAAGTGTTTATCTGTTGTCATTAGCAACAGCAGAAAAATTTAATAAAAGTTACTTATTTTGTTTTGACTTGAACATGTGTTATGGATAGGGCTGTTTAAAATGTATTTATTATTTTGTGCATTATATTTTAACATAATTTTTTCGTTTGCAGGCTATGTAACATATGATTTAATACATTTTTATTTACACTACGGGTGTCCCAGCCAAGGCTCATATTTGTACACCATGAAAAGATACCACAATCAACATCATTTTGCGCACCACGAAAGCGGTTTGTATAAAAAAATATGTAAAATATCCTGCTAAAAATTTAAGTCGAATTTATTGGCCGACTCCAGTGCAGAAGTGTATTTTAAATATAAGTTAGAAACGACATATCTTTTTTACTTCTTATACTAATGATTTTCGGAAAACTTAAAATAAGATAATAAAATATAGTATGCAAATTGTCAAAAAATCTATAAACAAAAAATGTATTCGTCAAAGAATAATGGATAATTTTGTTTAATCCTTAAGGGGACACCAAGGAGGAAGTTGTCTGTGCATTTTTCAGCAACATTTTCTCGAAAGCCAACGAATTTATATCAAATGGCTCAATGAAACAAAAGTGCTCATACTAGAAAAGCTTATACATTTTGAATGAAAAATAAAACTTTTAAAAAAATATATAAGAAATGTTTCCGATCTCATAAATAGTTATTGTTGCAAATAAATCAAGGCAAAATTAATATAACTACAATTAGAGTTGACAACAAATAAACTAAGATCAATTTTTCTTTATCAATCTGGTGTGTGTGTGTGTGGATGTGGTGTGTTGTCGTTAAATGTCCAAAAGCGATTTTCTAGTATTTCAGTACAGCAATCGGTGACCGGCGTGTCAACCCTCATCCCCCTGACCAGTTTTTGTTTAATATTAAATTTTTCTTTCTGTTTTCAGGTTTCGGTATCAGCAGCCAATTTTGGGACCACATATTCGGCACAGCAATTGCACTGAAAAACCTTAGCCGATGTTTGAAATGGTACTAAAGCGAGTACTAATAAAACACGTGCCTTATATTATGTATTACAAATTTTAATTTATATATATATATATATAGGTTTTATATATTAAATAATTGTTTAATTCATTTTTTTTTAACTCTCAAGCGTGGAGTCGCTCTCCTACCACCAAGCAAATATTTATTATTTTTATTTTTTAAATGATTAATTTAAAACTTTAAAGCCACACCCGAAGTAAACGGTATAACTCAGTATATAATTATTGAAATGTTTTGTTATAATATTATTACTATAAATATTTATACAAGGTCGCTTTTTATTGCTATTTTTGTTTTAATAAAACGGCATTACAAAAAACAAATAAAAAATCTAAAAATATGTTTAGTTGTTACACTGTACGTTATAATTTTTTTTTGTCCCTTTGTAACTAAGCACTACTAATACTACTGTATGACCGCAACAAAACACCGTTATGTCAGATAAATTCGTCATCGGTTCCTGTTTCCTTTAATAATTAACTCAATGTAATAAATACATTGGTATTTGTTCGGATGAAAAATGACTTAGGCCGACGTCGGTCATTCGTTTTGAAAAGTCAATATGATAATAAGACGCGGGCAAACTGAACAGAATAATATGAAGTGGTCTTAAATTAATAACTTTTCCTTCTCAACGTTTGTCTTAAATGTAAGTTATTTTTGGGTTTGACCAACATAAACAAATTAAAATACCCTTAACAGTTGGCGTTTTTATTTGTCAACTGCTATTCTGTCTTGTTTAAGTGCATGATTTTTATTTAAAACAAAATCTCCGTGATTAAGTCCCGACACTAAATGTTGTTTAAGATGAACTTTTAATATTGCACAATTTAAACATAATATAGTTACAAAAGTAATAGGTTTAGTTGAGTAGACGCCAAGGTTAGAGATGAATATAAAAGATCGCTTTAGAAAAATTGGAATCATAAGAAATAATTTGATAGCAAACTGCTATGAGCTCCATAGAGAATTTATAAATTTGTTTTGCTTTGATGCAGAACTGAGCTGAGTTGGCTTTACAATGGTGTGTGTTTTGAACAGACAGGGGGATAGACCCACAAGGAAAGAAGGAGTTATTTTTTATCAAGAGACTCATTTTTTTTATATCAAAATAAATTTACTATGTAGGTATTACTAAAATTATAAATTATTATTAATGTTATTTTTCGTTATATTCCCATACTACAACTAGTGACAAGTAATGATCAATTTTTTTTCCATTTTAGTAGCCTTTCTAAAATAATTCCTTGTAAAAAAATCTATCTAACTACCCCAGCGTACGTACAGGTAAGAAAAAATTAAGTTCAACGTAGCATGATCAACTAGTAATCTATACAAATAAAAAGAAATAAGTTGAAGATTTTTTTTTACAGCTTTAATGTGTATCAAATATTTGTGGATTATTTTGTTGTTTATAGAACTACTTAAACGCGCCAACTTTTTTTAAGGGTAAAGTGTAAACTACTATAAATCATTACTTTTACATAATTTTTGAATTCATTAGTCTGTTGTGGCAAATTAGTATAAACATTTTTTGTAAAAACAACATTTTCGACGCTTTTGTTAAACGGATGAAAATTGTTTTGTTGTAAAGCATACAAATTAAATTTCTCTATGTGAGCTGAAAGGTAAGTTTCTTTTAATTTTTATTCAGAAAAATAAGTTATTGAAAAATAAAAAAGTAAAAATTTTTGAAATTCAATTTTAAAAACAAAATAATTAATCGGCCCTTTTTGACCTTATAGAGTAGATTTTGAGGTTACAAAAAAGACAATCTAGACTATGTATAAGTATAATATATTAGTAAATAGTTTTACTCTTTCCGTTTCCCCTTAAAGGACATACGTCGTTTGTTTTTTTGTGCAATACGTGTAAATATTTGATTAGAAGTGTTTTACAGCAGTTAACTTTCCAATTAAGTGTAGCGTTTAATTTCTATGTATTTAAACCACGATTAAAGAAGATCTTTAATCGTAAATTAAACTAACTGGCTAGAATGAATATAATAAATTCAAAAGTATTTTTGTACAGTGTAGTAATACTAATAAAATATAATATATTTGTCGCATAACTTGAATTAAATTTATATTTAAGATCAAAGAGCAGTCACAAACTAATGACACTTTTCGTAATATTGCACGCATTGAAAGTTAATACCTAATTAGGTTACCTAACTTAACCAGAGCCAAAAAAAAAAAAATAATAACCTTATTAAAACTAAATAGTGTAAAAAAAATAATAACCGTTTTAATATTGTCTGTGATATAATACAAGACCTTAACGACCTATCGGAAATATTATAAATAAATAATTGGATTTGTTGAAATAATTAGAAACATTATCATACATGGAGATACCACGTTAAAAAAACGAGCCAAATACTCTACCTCGTGGGTGGTTTGGAAATGAGTATAAATAAAACTAGAATACATTTAGACTTAGTGTAACCGGTAACGGATGCAATTTTGTCGCTCACGCCTCAAACCATTGTCGAGATTGGAGGCTGGAGTTGACACTAGGTACAATGTAAAATAGTTTCGCATTTAAAGTTTTTAAATAATACAAGGGAGCCATCTAGCGGAAAAATTTGACACCACCCTTCGTCCGATCAGCTCGGACCTATTATTATGTTAAAAAGAATTCTGTTCACATGAATAATTCTATTGAAAATAATTATTAATTATAAAAATAACGTATAAACTAATACAACATGTTGGCTGACACCAATTTTTCAATTAAAAAAAAAAGTATATATCTGAATGTTATTAACGCTATCGTTTATCAGCTGATTCAATCATTACCAAAAAATTATTTTGATAAGGCAAGTTTCAAGGCGTTCAAAGGATCCAAGGGTTACTCGAGTTCGTCCATTGCTTTTGCTGTAATTCTATTTTACGTCAGTTACTCGAGTTTAATTTTAGCGAAATTATTTGTACCAAAGGTAAGACAATACTATGTAATTATGATTGTTTATTCTTATAAAACATAACTAATCCCTTATTAAAATGTCTTTTGTGTTGGTACAATTTGATATATAATTTTGTTTATTTAATTTCTGTTGAACGTTATAATTTGTTACTGTATTGTGTAAATGTAATGATTTAAGGTTTATATTTCCAGAAATATCAAAAAAATGGGAGCAGCAGCTTTTCCAATCATATTTTTCACAGCAGTGTGGGGCGTGGTCGGCATTGTTTTCCCATTTATCCTTCCCAAAGGACCAGACCGAGGGTAAAGCTGTTTTTATTTTTTTCCTTAAAATAAATGTATAAAACCTAAGTGAAATTGATGTGTTATTGTAACGTTTAAACACTCAATATGGCGACTAAAAGTTAATAGGTTGGTATGAGGGCAATTAACTCAATTATGTTGTGTTGTAGTTAACGACAAACTTGGTGGTGATGGGTTATGATATCACAAAGTTGTCCTCATACTTGTTTATTTTTCATGTTAAATAATTTAATGCATTTTAAAAACTTACATACACAAATTTCAATAATCTAAACATTTTCTGTAAGTGACACATCAAATTTCATCTATTCTGTATATCAACTATTGCCATATTAACATAGAATTAATTTAAAATCAGCTAAACTGTCTTCTTTTTTTAGTATTCAACAACTCATTTTGATGTTAACAGCGGCAACTTGTTATCTATTGTAAGTATTATTTTTTAACTGTATATACTAACTTATTATTCAATTTTTCTTAATAATTTATCCTACAAGTTTATTAGAAGAAGAGTACTTATAAACATTTTTAAAATTATTTTAATATCTTGCTAAATTTTATGACCAGATATTAGCCAGACGTTTCCGATTTTCAAAGCGGATATCTCGCTAAAGTTGAGATGCTCTTTAGATGGTCATGTTTAAAATGTTCATAATGTTCATAACTTATAATAAAACTGGTAGAAGTTAGCTAAAGCTTAAATAAATGTATTTAATAATAATGTTCATAAATCATAAATTTGTTTTTTTAGTTTATTAAAAGTGGTTTTAACACATTAATAATTGTTGTCGTGTTTGTGTATCACTGTATTATTATATAAAACTACTTAATATTTTTTAGTTGGTTGTGTTGTTATATGGCACAAATGAACCCGTTGGTTGGGCCAAAACTACAACAAAAAATAATTTTAATAATGGCACGTGAATGGGTATGTGATTTCAAATAATTTATAACCATTTCAATTAATATTCTATACGTGTTTAGTTCTATAATTATTTTTTATTTTTTTCAGGGAGTACCAATTACAGAATAATTATCATTATGATTAATTTAAATGTATTGTTTTATGTGTTGTTACTCATTTTTAAAATCTAATCATTCCATTTTCCTCCCTTTGGTTAAGTATGTTAATAATATAAACTCTTAGCTGTCAATCTGTTGAAATCTTGTGCATACTTGAAACTTTTTATTGAGCTATACTCTATGAAATAACTTTTAGAAATACTTTTATAATGTCATCAAATTTTTAATGTGTTTACTGTACACAATTTATTTCTAATATAAAATTAAAAAATTATAACAAAATGTAAAATGTTGTTGTAATGATTTTTAGAAATAATTTTATCAAACAATAAAAGTTTTAGTATAAGTATTTTGTATTATATAATGTAACATTGCAAGTTAGGTCATGTAGAATTATTTTTTAACTTTACCGGAAACCATTAAAAATGTACAGTTCAAATCTAATTTTATGGTCTATGAACCATTCACTTGATGCTTCTCCATAATTTGGAGTAAATTTATTTTGTCTGAATACCAAACTTTTGTCTAAATCTGTATTACATAATTTTAACTGAGTTTCTCAAGTATAAAATAAAATATTTAAGAAAAATTATGTGAGGTGATATCTTACATATTAAATTGTATAATTAGTTTTAGAAATGAAAAAAAGATAGCATAGTTATCACATTTGTGCTTTATCTGTTTAAAAAAAAAAAAATCATTTTTTTCAAATTAATATTCCATTAGAATAGTAATTTTTACTATATTTTATTATATTTGTTCAATGTTTTTACCATAAAAATGTCTTAGTGGTTTTTCTGTTAAATCTTATTTAATAGGGTTTTTTCATTTTAAAAATTAACTAAAAATTGTATTTAAATTTTAATTCTAGTTTGAATTTAGCAAAATCACCTCTTTATAACTCCACATTTATTACAAATGGTATCAATTTTTACAGTATACATAAATATGTTAATATAGTATTTTTACAATTGTAGTAGCAATTTACAAAAAAAAAACTAAAATTCTGTTAAGGTACATCCTTAGTGTAAATATTGTCTAAAAAAAATATAAAATACAATTTTAAGTAATTTGGTTAGTTACCAAAATATTAACATTAGTTGGGAAATAATGGCAGAAATCACCATTTTAATTTTTCATTAGTCAATTTTCTTTCTGCTTTTTAAATTCTATGCAGTTTGTAACAAGCAAAACTTATACAATGAGTCATATATACTTGTACTTTGTATACATTTCTTTAATATGCCTAAATTTGAGGGGGGGAAGCTGAGTACCCAACTACTTTCTCAGAAATTGAAGCGTACCCTTACTACTTTTTATTAATGGTGGTTTCTTTAGGGTAAAAAAAATGTCGGGTATGTTCTTTTTTTATAGTAAAAGTGACTATTACTTTTCATTTTTTCAATTCGATCTCTGGGTATAATATGTATCAAACCATAATGAAGATTTCGGGTAAGAGTTTAATTTTATTAATTAGATATAAGAAATACAATATATCATGCTACTTAAAAAAAACCAAGTGTAGTATACAAATGTAGATGTGTTTATACACATATTTTGTTGTTGCCAGTTTACACTAACATAAACCTAATATGTATTAATCAGAAATTCATTAAATTTTACGTTTAAATTTCATAGGAATATACACTATATACTACTATACACTATACCTATACAGAATGTTACAGATACCCAATTCCTAATGCGTAGGTATAACAGCGAGTATATATTATTGTACAATATAATATAGTTCAAGGGTATAAGTTATAACTTTAGAACCTAATTGGATTTAATGAGAAAAATTCTATAAAAATAATGTATTTCTGGTTTTTGTTGCCCATTATACCAGCCTATAGACTTTACACTTACATGAAATATTGTTAAAAGATTAAAACAACTATACACTTTACATACTTCATTAATTAGATAAGATTTAAGTATAATACAAGTACTGACGAATATATCAATGTAAAAATTGTATTCAATAGCCACTTTTTTTTGCATTTGTTCTTAGTTAGTGAATCTGAGAATTAGATAAACTCTTATGAGCATTAATGACAGCATAATTTTAATATGTATTAAAATGTTAGCAACCAAAAGTTTTGTATTAAAAAAAAATAATTAGCTTTTTTACTTTTAGCAAGTCGAACAAGATGTAACAAAAATAACTAACAGGTTTATAAAATGCGGATTTATTTTAAAAATATGAAATACATAATAAATAATCCCCTATCACAGTCTACCGAGTAAAATAATAAATAAAAGTTTATCGCTTTACAAACATCTACTGCATGGTTTGTCTACAAAAATAATAAAAAAATCAACAAAAATATTATTCACTTATTGTGCGAAAGAAAAATAGAATTACACAATGAAATAGTTATAATTCAAATCTACTAGATAGCAACATAGTGTCAAGTCGGCTATCAGTGAGCCGGGAGGAAAGATATATTATACATAAATATAAATAGGTATATTTAAAAATTAACTGAATAAAGAATTACAAATAATAAAATATAAGAATAAACAACTAACTTAAATATTACAATACAATTATCATTATTATTATTAATCAACTTATTATATTGTACCTAAAGCTCAAAACACAGTCCATAATGTAAGGTAACCTACATATACATAATTTTCAACTTAATTTATATAATAGTAATAATTAAAAATATATATTATTTTCCAATTTTAGTATTTTTTTTTTATGAACTTTATAAGTTTTGAAAATACACAAGGTTATAATTTATACAGTTGTACCATAATACAGTATAATATATAATGTTGAGTGAGTGAAGCATATTAACTATAATCCTACTAAACATTTTTTATTTAATGCCGAGAAAAAAATATTTATAAATACTATAATAAATTAAATAATATATTATGCACAATTGAGCGTAGTTAGGACAATATAATAAAATTCATGATTACAGACAAATAATAAACAACATGAGAACACACTTGACTATCGAGCTATCGAGAGAACCCTTTTTGACTAAACTGCGGTATCGGGTTCAATCACTACTCATCCAATATATATTCATCACCTAACTGCTAAAATACTATTTATAATGTATAATATATTCAGTACTATTTGCAATTATTTAAAATATAATAATAAAATACAATTCAGCAAATTAACTTTTCTTTTTAAAGACATAATTTTTAGTATTTTTACAAAAAATAAATAAGTTTTTTGTAGTTTTAAGTCATAAATTTGTTTTTAATCTTCCAATATTAATTGTTCTTTTTTTGAATAAAATAAAACAAAAAAAGAATTAATGAGTTTGTTTTAAATTGAAATTGAAAATTGTTGTGAGGTAAATTATTTTTGTTTAAATATAGTCTAAAATTTACCGAGAAAATGCTTTGTGATGTTCACATGATACAAAAAATTGTTAATATTGGTATTTAATTCGGATCGGAAAACATTTGAGAATATTTATTTAATGATCTTCACTACTTACTACTCCCGCTGCTGGTCCATAAAATATTAGTTCGGGGATTTGACCTCCTTGCACTCCGGTGCCGTTAGTACTTTCGGAAGAACATTGGAATTGAAACGTCACACTGCCTGAATTTATTTCACTAAGCCCTTCTTGACCAAAATAACTCAATTCGGCACCATCCAGTATAGCTGAAGCTGTGTAAAATAATTCTGGATCTACTTGGACAGGATGTGTAAAATGCACGTGGAAAGTATTACTCGAACCATCGGAGAAAAATTTTGTGTTGTTTTCGGCTAATATCCTTCCAAGGCGTTTGAGTTCTATTTTGACATTGTAATCGGCTGCTCCTGTTGATGATCCATACAGACCAAAACCAACAATAAATACACGCCGGTCTACACTGAACTGAATACTATCACAACGACCTCGATATCGCCATTGATTACTGCGATAGGCGCATGACTGAAATCTATGACACATTTGAGGTTTCAATCCTATTCTAGGTTTAGTGGGGTAAGTCAACCGAGGTTTATTAGATGCAGTAAAGTGTAAAAATAAATCGACTGTCTCATCCAAAGTTAATAGTCCCATTTGAGCTGGTCCGTTGGCAAATTCTTCAAGAGACATAGCAGGTAATCGGAGTAGGTACAATGCGGAATCTAGTACTTGGCGTTTATTCGACGGGGTGGGTTCTATTTCACGTCTGTGACACTCGGACGTAGCCCAGTTCATGGCTGCCTCCCACAGAATAGTTTCTTTACAGTTAATCGTTTCCCGACCCAAAACACTCTGAAGAGTATCAGTATCTATGTCGACAAATCCATCAGAATGCAATGCAATTTCCGCCTATAAATATGATTTATAATAATTAATATATAAATATAAAAATACACTGAAGTTAACAATTTTTAACCTGTGCATCAATCACTTCCCAACATCTCTGCATTAATTCTGGCTCCTCAAATAACCTCGACTGACTGAGGAGCAAACATGCGTTTTTTGCCGTCAAACTAGTTTCCAAATAGTTAACACACGCTCTAGCTAAATGAGGTACTATATATTTTTTCGCCACATATAACGTAGCTAAAACAGTATCGGCTTCCAGTTGAATTTCATCACAGTATAAATACCTATTAATTAGATAAAGATTTCTTTTAATATTAAAGTAAATGTTAATGATAAGTATTGACCTTACCTTAGTAATGTAAGAAAAGCAGTAGGTTCTACATCGGGAACTTCAATTTCTTCTTTAGTATCCGCTAGTCCACCATAGAACATTGCGTAAAACACTGAACTTCCAGTGGCTAAAATGTACTTGTGTGATGGAATTCGCTGAGTATTTCCTACAGAAATATAATAGTAATTCAACACATGTGCTTTAATGATAAATAACTGAATATAACTAACCGGGATTGCCAACAATGAAGTAGATGTCAGCCATAAGATCATTGTTGAACATGGCAGCATTACGTTCGCGAACGGTAGATTTGATCGCTTGCCAATTGGGATCTAATGTAATATTAGAAGTAGCGGCACACAGCAATTGTGTTGTGACCGGAGATCCTACGGGCGATACGGGCGCACTAGCTGGCTGTGTGACGGGCAAGAAGGAAGAATTTTCTCTTTGGGAAACGGTTGAACCAGACTGAGGCATTCCATAGATATTTGTGCTCAATGTATCTGTAACACAAAACAACAACGATCTTAATTAATAACTAGGTCAATGGTAATTTACTTAATGAACGTTGATTTCAATATAAAACCAGGCCGTTTCAATTAACCAATATTATCACAATATTGCGTATGCGGATCACAAAGAGTCACTACCATTCTTACCGTTAATCCATTGATTCGACTGCGTAATTTCTTGGAGAGTCATTCGTTTGTTCATCGGTTTAGTATAGGATGAGCTCACTTTAGTGTAGAAATTCGACATAACGGGTGGTTTTTTTGGGAGACTTAACACGGCGTTTTATAAATGAATATATATATATATACGTAATGTAATAATTTTAAGTTTTAATCGGAAAAATGCATTTTTGTGGGCCGATTCACATTTCTGGACACTTGACACAGAAACCCCGTTTTGAAATCACAATTATTGGCAAATCCTTGGACGAGACAATAGTGCATAAAATATTAATTGATAATATCAGCTCGGCACAGAAATCTCTATAATTCTGAAATCAAAACAGGCAGCGCACTACACACACCGTCCCTACCACACCGCGACCATAACAACTATAGGTACGATTGAGCAGGCCGATTTCTGTGATAGCCAGAAGAGTCATGGAGTAAACCATTGGGTATCTGCAACCGCACTGTATTTTTCATAAGGCGTTGACGTCACGCAGATGGATTTGTGACGTCGCTATCGTTACGATTATGCGCCACAGTCTGACCGCCCTAACCATACGCCTGTCTACGTTTAATTAATGCTTTACCCTAGTTTTCCAATACCATAATGACTGGAGTTTGAATTTGACCTTAAAAACAGTTTTCGGTTATAACGTTTTATTACAGTGTACGCGCAGTATGATATTATTGTAGGAGAAGTTGTAATGTTTTCGGTTAATGGGACGGGTAAACGAGATGAGGCGAATAATGGCAAAATACAATATACGGTCTACGGAATCAAGGTTCCCCCCACATGGAGAATTATCTTTTATATAAATTATCATAATACTGTTGTATTTACCTTCTTTTTCAAAACGATTCTCTCCACGGTTTGATAGAAAAGTCGTTCGAAAATTTCAAAATTTTATTTGCGCTGCAGGCATAATAATTAATTATATTATATAACCTGTACCTAGTAGCTGACGTATTACTGATTCGGCCTTAACATAATTATCTACCCGATTGAAAAAAGTAGTTTTTAATTGTATCTGGTTTTACATTTTTATCATTTAGATGTCTAGATTTTTTTTATGAATAACAATTTACATTTTTTTGTCAAATTTCGTAGGCGAACTGAATAAGTAGTACCTATTTAGTCCAGTGGAAAATTTGCCAATGTTCATTATTTACTAATTAGATTTAAACGGACGAAATTGATGTAGGTACGTATTATTACTTTTTATTATAAAATTAGTACAATTAATATTCATTTTTTAATAATTTCACAGGCTATATTTATAGATTGGTTTTTAGTAACGTAATGACCAGATCGAAAAATTCAGATTGTGTCCGTTAAAATAAGTCTGACACTGAAAAATGTTTAAACACAACAAGAAAATTCTGTGGTAAGCACTTTAAGTTTTATTCTGTACCAACTTTTACAACTATCCTACTAAAGGCCAGCCAGATTAATCGAATTTTTTGTATTCTTCGCCTCATTCTACTCGGGCAAAGTCATTGACCCTATTCTGTTATTTTTTCCCATTTCCTTTCATTGTTCGTCTTTTTTATTCTTACCGCGCAACATAATATATTAATGTCATCAACTAAACCTTTTAAGTCGAACTCGGAACTATACAACAGGGACGTCGTTTAAGCTTTCAATAACGATTTTGTCACGCTCCAATAAAATAAGAATACCTAATATTAACGGTTAAAAAAAAAAACATGAGTGCTAAAACGAATACCTACAAATGTAGTTCTATAAATGTGCTAAGACTTTCATGGATCAAGCTAATCGGTCCTAACTTTTGATTTTAAGTCTATTGTGTATAGAACTGCACGCATTTGTGACGTAAAATCTTATTGGCTCCTATATTATAGTGGCTTTAAAAAAAAAAAATTATTGATTAAACAAGATGACATTATCGTTATTCATTTTCAATGCGGCGTTCGTCATGTAAAATGTCAATTAGAACCTTGACCAGTAGAAATCACACGCGTTGTTTGTTAATCCTAACTGATTTGGGATTTGAGACACGGAGCGATCAGTGTTGTAATATTATGCTTGTTGGAACTCGGTTGCATACAAACATCTATCTGTACTCTATAGTGCTATTATTAGGTACCATTGAGATAATTAATTATTATAACTAGCGATTTGTAGTGGATCCAAAAATGATTCTGAAGATTATTGTATCGAGAAGACACGGGAACAAGTAGAATTTCCCACCGTTAATATATTTTTCATATTATTATTTATTATACATATTATGTAGGTATCTATTTACTTTTTTTGATGAAATGCGTTTAGGCAATTTTACTGGATTCTCTTTATTTTGTTTGTAACACGTTGTCTGACCACATTTTCCTAACAACATTTTACCCGTATGGACACTAAAATAGTAAAATATTATAAGAAATACATGCTCAGCAATAGGCTGTTATGTCATAATAGTTCAATAATAAATTAACATAACAGTATAATATCATTTCTTCATTTATACATCATGCTTCGAATAAGTAAGGAGGTCTAATTTTTTTTTTTAGCATTTTTGGATTTGACCGCAGTTTTAAGAAATCCGTTAGATATGAATTTTCTGACACTGGATAATTCTCCTTTCTGTGCTGGATTCTTTCACTATCCCGAAGTTCGCATTGAAGCGTTTTATTGTGATTTAATCACTTTTATTTTAATTTTTAATAACGGCCTTGACACCACTTTATTACGAGTAACTTCTTGCTTTACTGGTTTGTACTGTTGCTTGATTTTTTTTTCACTTTTTGCCGTTTTTGTATTATACCAGTAGAAATTAATTTTAATAAAAAAAATCAACGTAGTGTAATTCATTTAAATATTTTCCACGATTATAATAATTATTGTAATAATTATGAAAATAAAAATGTATTATTTAAGTATATAATTTTGCTAAATTATTAATTATTATTATTGAAAAAATAGTTTCCCGTTAAGTTTGTGGATATTTACAGTTAAGTATAGATGAGTATTAACTATGCGACTATTAAATCATTTATATAGACAATTCTTGAATCAGTTATTCGGCTGTTTTTCTACATTAACTTGATCGGAGCGGGTTAACTCGTACATTTTTTTTTTGACAAAATGAATCCTTCATTAAAATTAAATTTAGGCTCTCAAATAGTCGGGATACGCTTACTACATCGGTGGAAATATCTTCATGTAATAATTTTTTAGTGGAAATTGTTTTGTTTCTTTTTATAGATAAGAATAATAAATAAACCGAAAAAATGTACGTACGATTTGTCCTGGTGTTTGTACGCAGTTTAACAAAAAGCTGTGTAATTACACAGATACACTATTGCTTCACGCGCGTCTAAATATAATGTGTTTTTTATTCACAGACATTTACTCTAGAAGAAAGGAGTTATCCTCACCGCTCGTATTATAATCTCACCACCGGTTGACTTATGTGACCATGAAACCAGCGCGCGTTTGCATGTCAACAGGTTTAAAGTCAACGGTCTAACCTGATTACGGCCAAATCAATTATGGACACGTGTAATCGTAATGGCAACTGTGATAATAATATACAATATGATATTATAATAATACGCTGTACACACACACGTATGTCGCTCATGCGTAAAATTATATAACACGTGAAAATGACAGGGCAACAGCCAACAAAAAATAGAACCAGGGAAAGCGGGCGAAAAACGACGTGTAACGGCTTTTCAGCATTGAAGGTTGTTGTTTTCACTTAGCTGGCTAACCGGTCCACTGTCTGATTAGATTACCATACCTCATTTGGACGGACCACGCGTATACATGTCTCCCGATGTATCCCAACTTTGCTTACAATTTTCGAAGTACCCATTGACGACCTGACTCGGACAACAGTATCGAGTAGACTCGAAGAAAGTACAAAGTACCTTATATTTGGACGCATTCATCGCGATATTCACTATTCAATGGTCATTGTTATTGGAACACCGATCAAAAGAAATTTCAAAATACAACTAAAGTCTTTGTCATTTATAATTGACTTCCATGCAACACCATGCACGTGATAAAACTAAGAAATTTGCCCATCAATAATTCGTACTAGTGTTGGTTTGATACTTTTTATCTGACTAACATAAACGCCAATGATATATCTACTAATGGATCGACAGAATACCTAGACCCCGGTTTGTTTATGAATAACATTTCACTGAGGTCTGTGTCAACAAACATAAGATAAGTTTTGTATTTTATGTACGGAAACTTCAACACCTTCTGAGCAACCTTCAACACCTTCAAGCAACAGTCCTCATTTTGCTCATCAGCAAAAAAAGTAAAACATGCACCTAACCTATTGCCTTAGTGCAGATCGTGGTCGGGTCTAATGGCCATCTAGCCTCCACTTAGCGATTTTGCACGGGATTCAAGGGAAATTAACTTTCATGCTGATCGCTCTAGCACTGGCCGTGAAAATTAAGTACTCGATTAATAAACGAATATAAATCTGATTACGTTGTTTTGTCCAAAAAAAAACCTATTGTAATCGCATACAGCGTACGACATACCACCAGTTCGACTAATGCAATTATTTTTAGCAATAAATAATAATAATAATTATTATTATTTATCGATTCACATTCGTATTCGCTATTCTGTTTTGCGAAGCACAGTTCCGTAATATCAGAATCGGTATATTATTTTAATTATTATTTCACTTGTAATATTATTAGTCATGCCGTTTTTGTTCTCACGCTTCGTTCTCAATAAAATAATTAATCGTGGGACAAAAGTAACAGTCAAAATAATATTATTATAATTTGTAACCTTTCAACATCAAATTACGGTGTTCATCGTGTGTTCGCGTATATCTGGTCACGGGAAAATTTGTAAAACAATTTAAAATAGTTAAACATAACAAACTATTGAAGTTCTATATGCACCATTTAGCGTGGTCTAAAAAATAGAGATTTCTTATATTTTTTTGTCCTGAAATGTTTAAAATAATGACATACATTATGATTATACATTAAGTATAATAATAATATATAATATACTTTTATATGTAAATATAATTTTTAATTTGTTAGGTTTCAATCACTAAGCTCAAGAAAGTTACACTGAACAAGAAATTATGTTATATTCAATAAAAATATAGACTAATTTGATAAATACTTTATTGCTATTGACCCTAAAAATATTTAATCAGCCTAATAATGTACTGTTTTAGCAAATATTTTCTCGCGGCAATCGAAAAATACATTGCATCAATAATTAATTTATCAAAAATTTGTTTGTATTTCAATTAATAATAAAATGTATATCAAAGTAATAATTGCTTTTATCGTTTTGACTGTATTTTTAGCATATGAGTAAAGTGGTTTTATAAAGGACTGATAAATATAATGTTTATTCAAATTGATAGTTATTTTTCGTTAAGTGC